GAACCTAGCTGCGTCGATCCAGGAAGCGTGCGCTTTATTGCTGTACAAGAATCTGCACCTCCCTGTGGAAGAAGAGGACGAGTTTGCTAATAGTGGAACGACGGTGAGGAACGTGAACGCGGTGACGTCCACGCAGTCGCAGATGCTCCAGCAGCTTCAACAAATGAACCAGTTGATGCTGAAACAGCAGCAGAATCCTGGAACGTCACAAGGGTTCGTTGGCGCCGTGGCGCTTACGAACGTTCCAAGTACTAGCGTTCCAGCTCCGAATGGGAACGTGGCTGGCGCACCGCTCGGACCTCTTCGCATCCGACTAGGGCCTGACACGCGTACCACGGAAGAGGAAGTGGTTTGCGGACGCTGTAATCGTGCTGGATGTGGACGTGAGACGTGTCCCCGTGGACAAGGCCGTTGCAATCGGTGTAACGAACTTGGACACTACTCGATGGAGTGCAACTGGCCAAGACCCCAAGGGAATTACCGGAACGGAGAGCGACGCCAAGCGGAATGTCTGCTGTGTGGTAAGGCGGGTCACCTGGTGGCGAGATGCCCGAGCCTCGATACTTTGCGAGGAATGATGCAGAGCGTGGCCGCTGGGAACGTGACTGCACCCGCTGGTACGTCCCAACAATGAAGGGGGCAGGAGGAAGGGGAAGGAAGTGTCGCTCCTTCCTCTTGCCTGGTTGGCGACACGAAGAGAGATGAGGGTTCACCGCGACAGGACTTGGCGGATGGACATCAGAGGGCTCTCGGGAGAAGTGTGATGAGCGATGAAGGCGCACGTGACGTTCCTGTCACGAGCGTAACGACGGAAATTGTGGAAACTATGAGTGGAACGAGCGGAGAGAGCAGTCCGACGGAACGGACTGGGCTAGAACGAGACGAGAAGATTAAGGGCTCTACGGTGAGGCCCGCACGAGACGGAGTGGTCGCTGAGGTAACAACGGAACGTTCCTCTGCGACGCTGAACTGGGAAAACGAAAAGAGGGCACGTTCTGAGTTGGTACAGGACGTCAGTAAGGGAGCAACGGAACGCCCCGAGACTGCGTCAGACGCCAAGAACGAGTGTCTAGAGATAAAGGGCTCTATCGAGAAGCCCGTACGAGAGAGAGTGGTCGCTGAGGAAACAACGGAACG